GTGTGTGTGTGTGTGTGTGTGTGTGTGTGTGTGTGTGTGTGTGTGTGTGATGGGGTATCCAGCAGGTTTCAAGGTGAAGTTTAGAGATGGCACCACAACATGACTATAGAGTCAAGTCAATGATGTGATAGTTAATGAAAGAATTTCCTCCTGCATGGGACAGAGGTGCAGTAGTTAGAGCTGCTGCCAGTGTGTCTTCTCTGTCTCTATGTGGCCCTGTGATAGACTTGCGACCTTTCCAGGATGTACCCTGCCTCTCACACAGTGACTGCTGGAAATAACCAAGAAAAGGACAAGAAGATAAGAAAATACATGGATGGATGTGAAGGACATTTTGTAACTGATTGACTAGATGTTTGATCCAGTATTACAATACTGGATTTTACACATTTTGATCATTGCAGTTGGTCTAAAACTATGCTAAGACTACACACCACACATACGCAAGAGCAATAGCAGACGACAATAAAGGGGAAGACGTGCCTCCAGATGAACTATTCTCACTTGAGCAGCAAGTCATCAAGTTCTTCAGTAGTAAAGACATTTTACTGGACAGTGAAACTATTGCTGCTTGTCACACAGTGCTACAAAAACAAAATACAAGCTTGGATAAACTGAACAAAAAACCAAGGAGCATCCTACGATTTGTGAGTACAAAATATGAATCTGAACTGCTAAAAGTTGTAAAAAAAACTTAAGGGTACAGATGTGTTTGTGACTAAACACCTTACAAAGACGAATGCAGAGACTGCTTACCAAGCCAGGATTCTGAAGAAGGAGAAAAAAATACAAGCTCCATGTACAAGGAATTGTAAAATACTGATAAACTTTGTTTTGTTTTCTGTCTTTTTAGTTCTCAACATGTTGATGGAGGTGAATGACAAATTGTACAGAAATGGGTGAAAGTGGACATTTTAAGTATTTTGATTTTAAAGATCATAAGTTATATGATATAGAAGCTGATATAGACCCAGATACCAATTTCAGTTATAATACTAAACAACATTGTGAATATTACTCTGAAGAGAACTTTAATGTAAGGTTGGGAAGGTTTTCATTAGTATATTTTAATAACAGGAGTATGCAAAGTAATTTTCCTAAAATAAAAGAATATCTTCAAACATTCAATGAGAAATTTGGGGTGGAAGCTACATCAGGAACTTGGTTTACTGAAGGAAATTAACTACTGGATGGCCTAGACAGTTACAAAAATTTTTTGGCCAGAATAGGTATTAAAAAGGGGTGGTGGTGTTACACTGTGTGTAAGGTCGGATTTGAAATGTAAGGTCATTAAAACGACATTTTCAGTTGAAAACTTGCTGGAATGTTTATCTGTTAAAATTGAGGGTAATAGATCTGGGTATATGTTAATTAGTTGCATTTATCGAACTCCTGGCTCATGTATAGATGAGTTTAGTAAGAAAATATCAGAGATGTATGAAAGATGTAATGAAAAAAATATTTGTATTTGTAGAGATTTTAACATTGATTTGTTAAAATACAATGAGGATATCAAAACAACTGAGTTTGTCAACTTGATGTTTGGTTTAGGTTTCTATCCATTAATTTTAAGACCTACTCGAACAACCAAAGACAGTGCCTCAATGACTGATAATATTTTATAAATCAATTCAATGTGAAGACAGAAAGTGGATTATTAATAACCGATATTAATGATCATTTGCCAGTGTGTTGGAAGTTAGTAATCAGTTCAATTTCAATACGACAAAGTCAATTTTTAAATTAACTAGAGTAAAACTTCCTGAAGCTGTAGAACATATTATTAAATTGTAACTGGTAAAATGTTTATGATGGTGATGTTAATGACTCATTTAATGTGTTTTTGGAAATATTTGCAAGTATTTACG